AACAGAGGTCCGATAAACCCCCCAGACTGCTTCACCAGATGCTTTTTTCTTTTAAGTGAAACCCTTTTATTACACAAAGTTTTTATAAGCGTGCGTTTCTTTTTCAGCACACGCACTTGATTCTGTGTTAAAGGTATGTTTCCTTTTAAGGTATTGAGCGCTATTTCTGAGATGGCCGCTACTAGATCATCAGAGGCCGAACACAGTATAGCCCTCCTTTGCTGTGGGGATGATTTGCTAAGTAATTTTAAAAGGCCCAGGTTTCTCTTCACGCAGCTAGACATGTTTTTGGTCAGCAGCCCCGGCTGTTAAAGAGGGGCCTGCCAATAAGTCATCTCTTTTTATACCTGGCTGTTGTTCTTTTCAAAGTATAAACCGTCGGCCAGTCTGGAGGGAAAAGACCAGTTCTTAGTCTATAAGCGTCTGGTGTGGAAGCATTTAAATCCACCACCAGGTAGCCATAAGGTCTTTTGGTAGCATCCTCAAAAGCTTCTAGAAAGAATTGAGCTTTGCCAGGGTACATTTGCCGAGTGAGCGTAGCAATTTGTAATTTATCCCTGGGATTTTTGAACAGAACCATGTACTTTGTGTTTAGGTTAATCGTGCGACTCTTTTTTCCCTGGCAAAATACGTTTTGAACTATATACATAATGCTCAGGTATGAAATCAAGAAAGCCTTTACCAAGTACGTGCATCACAGAAACCTGAGCATTATGTATATAGTTCAAAACGTATTTTGTCAGGGAAAAATGAGTCGCATGATTAACCTTATGGCTACCTGGTGATGGGACTTAAATGCTTCCACACCAGACGCTTATAGACTAAGAACTGGTCTTTTCCTTCCAGACAGATCACTGATGATGAGATTGATAGATTTCCATTCCATACGGCTAAATGCAGTGCCTTGCATGGTGTCAAGGTCTGATGTCAAGATCATCAGTGAACTACAACCCATCCTGGACAATGATCCCTCACTTTCACAGACCTTGGGAGGCAGGCCAGTCCTCGCGCACAGACAACCTGCCAACCTTAAGCATATCCTCACCAGCAACCACGCACCGCACCATAACAACTCTAACTCAGGAACCAACCCATGCAACAAACCTCGATGCCAACTCTGCCCACATATCTACACCGGCAACACCATCACAGGACCTAACCAGATCAGCTACACCATCACCGGCTCATTCACCTGCACGTCCACCAATGTTATATATGCTATCTTATGCCAGCAATGCCCCTCTGCTATGTACATTGGCCAAACTGGACAGTCACTACGCAAGAGGATAAATGGATACAAGTCAGATATCAGGAATGGCAATATACAAAAACCTGTAGGAGAACACTTCAACCTCCCTGGCCA